AGTAGCAACCGTGGGCGGTCAATCAAGCTCAAGCTCAAACTCAAGCTCAACAGAAACACTTGAGAAAACAATCACACATCCAAGCGCGCAATATGTTTTGCTTTCGAGCGAAAGAGTTGACTTATACATTTTATGAATAATCAGCAATAGGAATTTGCCAAAAGTTATAAGGAGATTTCTATCTGCGTGTACACTCAAAAAATATTGAAATCTAAATAGTATAAAAGTTACCCTAAAACCCTAAATCGCAACTCTCCGTACCGACGCAAAGGTCGGTATAAAGGGAGATAATGCAAACTTAGTATAAAAATGGTTTATGCGTGCCATCCCTAATAAATGGGTACCATAATCTAACGATATCATAGATGGTACGACTATCCCACATAAAGTTGGGATGATATCCCGAATTGGTGCTTAGGCGCTTCTTATGGTTATTGTTTATGCGGGATAGTATAAAATCGAAATATACTTACAATGCATAGATCAGGCATAACATTTGATAACGGCACAAAAGCATTTGTAAACAAACTTGCTAAGGCCCTTTACAAGTGAACCAAATTACGCCCACGCAAACCAATACCACTTTCGGAAAGGTGATAGTTGCCCCTATCCAATGATGTTGTTGGTTCGCTTGGGCGTACTTTGGTTCGCGTGTAAAGGGCCTTAGAAAGTTTGTTTACAAATGCTTTTGTGCCGTTATCAAATGTTATGCCTGAGATACGGTTTATTCGACAGAATGTATTTTTCGCTTCTTTATTTTATTTATGGTAAATATTCTTGTTTTCAAATAAAAATAAAAATTGTCTCAGGAAGCTTTTTTAATTAGTTTATTTTTATGAATAATATTTAAAAAAATACTTACAATTTCGATGCTGCCCAGCAGATCACAGGCGCAGTAGAAATCCACCCAGACAAAGCTCTTCACCAGCACGAAGCTCCGAAGGGAATCCAGATGTTCTTATTCCTGCCATTTTAATAATCACTGATCGAATTCCACTCCGTTATTCGGACTTAGTATAATTTTGACGAAAATTTTAATCGAACCAATGTATAAATTTCGAAAAACCATAAAATGCATAAAATTTAATCTATATTCGTTTTGTAATATTTTTTAGTGTAGAGTCTCCGTTTGATTTACACGGAGAGTCACCTCACCTCACACGCCGCGCACAATTGGCGTTGACGGCGACTCTGTAGCTCTTTACTCCTATGAGAAAATTCATAAGCAAACGTCAGACTGTGCGTGAAACATGGCGGGCTTTGTACTATCCTTTCACTCCACCGAAAATTCCCTTAAGAAACTGTCTAAATTTGCTGGAAGAGCAAATTTTTCGACGGTGCCGTCAACGCCAATAAGCCTACCATTTTCACTGGTCGTCTGGCATTCCTACGACGTGCCCAGCTCACCGTAGTCACCCAATTTGAGCAGTGTGGACGATGGTTGGTTCTCCCAGCAGCTGGTGCAATTCGTGATTCATTCATCTCCTCCACGTTCCATCATCGATCTGCACTCCACCGTAGATGGTACGCAACATGCATTGAACAAATTCTAGAAAATTGTTTCGCTTAGCTGTATCAAGGCAAAGAGAAAATCGATAAAGAGAATCGATCATCGCATCGCGTATACGCCCTTATGCATGCTCACTGTCGAATACTCATCTCGGCTCGGGTGAGGTGACTCTGAATGAAGATGACTCACCTCACCCGAGGTGACAATCGATTCTCTTCATAGACTCTCTCTCTCTTTCGTTAATAACTTGGCTGCATTCATATTTCGAGTTATAATTTCTACATAGTATGTTAAAAGAAAGTATTATTAAGCATATTGGACGATAACAAAAGCTGAACATGTTTTAGGAGGCGAGTTATTAACGAAAGAGAAAGTGGATGAAGAAAATCGATCAATATAGATTGATCTATTTGAAAGGTGACACGATAATTGTCACTTCCTTGTCACCTCATTTCACAACGTCGCACAGAATAGGACAAATCTAGACCAACAATTGAAATAGGCGGAACAACCAAAAGTAAACAATCCCCCCTATTCTGCGAGACACGTGACTCTCTCTCACCGGTGAGGTGACAATAGTCACCTCGTGTGAGGTGACTCTCCATTTGATTTGCACGGATAGTCACCTCACACGAGGTGACAATTGTCACCTCACCGGTGACAGAGAGTCACGTGACTCGCAGAATTAGGGGGAATGGCTTTAACACAAATTTCTCGACATTCAAAATACGACTCTATAACATTCCCCAGAAAAGTATGCCATGTATTAGATTGACTATTTTTGTTTATTATAGTCACTCCTGGAATCTTCTTTCGCGTATATAAAAAGAAGAGAAAAACTTCTTAATGGATCAAAGGGTTTTCCATTCTTTGAAAATACAAGAAAAGGAAATTTTTAATTCTTTGGATATACGTACGATAAAGAAGGGAATATTCCCTTCTTCTAATATATAAGAAAAATATATAACCAATAGTTTTTCGCAAGGGATTCGGGGTAATGCCCATTCGGGATAACAACGTGTGAAATAATGTTATACATTTGTAATCGGTAGTTCAACGTTCCATGCACCGATTTTTTAATCCATCACGAGAAATTCTTCAACTCATGTCGAACAATTCTTCGATATGGTTTAACAGTTTCCGACTGGTTTAATTGGATTGCATAATAGACCCTTTGACTTTTTAAATGATGAACGAAGTGCTCGAAAACTTGAAGGTTGTCATTTTCTAAAGAGCTATAAAATGGTTTGGAATTGATGAATACATAGTTCCATAAAAGTAAACGTAGTGTATCATCAATAGTAAAGTGAAACTAATCAGAGAGTGTTATCATGAAAAATATATTAAATCATTCAAAGTGTTTTTATGTTACTTCATACGCGAAGTTAACGATTTTCAGAGTTGGTTGGAAATGCTAACATGAAGCTTTAGTGTGATGATTTATTAGCTAGAGAATGATCTTTAGAAGAGGGTAGGTGGATAGTTCCGTTAGAGTTCGGCAGTATGAAAATTGAATAGAAGTTGAAAATGAGCGAAGGGCCATTAATGCGACAGTTTTTTTTAAGATCGACGCACATTTTTGCCTAACCCGTACGCAAATGCTTTTTGCCTAAATGTCCACTCTGGCGGCATGAAAAATAGGTCATTTTCACGAATTTTTTTTTTTTAGGGTAAATAACGATCAATTAAAAAAAAAAGAATGCATGGTTTTGTCAATTGAAATGTCCTCTTTAATTGAGATTTTTTTTTTGCGCGATTGGATGTCTCCTGTAGCCGCTGCACCAGGTTCCCCAGGAAACCTCCTGTCTGAGTCGTCGCGGGGCGGGACGTCTGACGGTCACACCACTGGAGCTGGAACAACGATTTTTTTTTGTGGTTATTCTCTGATAGATGACCCAGTCTTGTACGTAGCCATTTTTGATTTGATTGAAAAATAAAAATTTGGCGACGTTTTGAAAAAAAAAACAGTCCGTTATTGTACCCTAAAATTGGAGATAAAAGCTTGCACCAAAAACCCATTTTTGATTCTTTTGAAAATCGGCTACGTACAAGTCTAGAAAATTCAATCGCCGTTTAAATCGAATGAGCCGTTTCTGAAATACAGCGCCCGCCAAATTTGAAAATATCGTTTAGAGATAATCGCGGCAGCTGTTGGAACTACTAAGATAGCCGGCGCCGGTGGTGTAGTGGTAAGCGTGACTGCTTTCTCACACCCCAATGGGTCTGGGTTCAATCTCAGCCGAGGTCGGTGGGATTTTTCTGAGGCATAAAAATCTCTGGTCACGTCTTCCTTCGGAAGGGAAGTAAAGCCGTTGGTCCCGACCCATATGTGTTGAATGGGTGCGATATCCTACGCAGGTGTGGAAGCTGCCTTCCTGCACATTCGATTGCCGTCAATGGATGGCAATCGATGTCCGTCGGTGATTGGCACTAGATTGCGGAACAGAGACCGACGTTAAATAAAGGAAAGAAGAAAAGAAAAGAAAGAACTACTAAGACACGCCGTTTCGCCGGTAACGGGCGGGTACTCCGAGTGCTCACCTGAGCGCGCTTGGAGCGTCTGGACACGAGTCCACTAATCGGCCTATAACTTTGGAACGATGTCACTTGCGGACTTGCGGTCAAGTCTATGTCAAAGTAGACATTCCAAAGTATTTTTTAAGCAAAAAAAAAAAGATTTTTTGAAATTTCCAGAGTGGACTACCCCCTTAACGACGTGTTCTGGGTATCATACAAACCATTTGTGGAATAGTTCAATCATATGGGTTATCGTTCGTTTATGGTAATTTTTTATTAGGGCATTTGATAAAGGAAGTGTCCGCTTTCAGATGCTTGTGTTCGATTGCATGAATGTGTTTTGATTCTCGAGAAATTTGCGTTTGGTTGTTCCGCCTATTTCAATTAATTATATGATTTCAGTAGTAGCTATACTGAAGATCCGAGAGATGTCGCCCCTTCAGTGGTAGGAAAATCATTTTTGCAGTATGGAGAATTTCAGAAAATCCACGATTTGCGACAAAAAATGCTTTCACAGAAGGAAAAAAATAAACGAGTGTTTACCTTATCACTATAGTAATATACTCGTGCAATTTTTGTGCATCTAAAACTGCCCACAAAGACGATAATGAATAAAACTGAAAATTTTTGATGCATTTCCAAATGGTTTCCTACCATTCCCATACATTCGAAAGTGACTGGCCCTCTGGATGTGGATGATGTCAAAAACAACAAAACATGATTAATTGTTGGTCTAGAAATTATCATTATTGCGTTTTAAAATCGCATTAAAATTTAAACGTTTCCATTGTGTTATGCCATACGTTCATTATGCCAAATGACTATTATGTCAAACTGCTTTGGGCCAACAGGTTACTTCTCCTAAAACCTAGCAACATTTTATCTAAATCAGATGCCATTCGATTTAGAGTGGAAATCGTCACATTGAAATTCGGATATATATATATATATATAATAGACGGAAGAAAGTGTCTGATCTGAATGTCTATTTGTAACCCCCTAGCCTCATACGAGAGGCTTCAAATTTTACTCCTCAGTTTTTAGTCAATTTATAGAAATAAAACTTCCAGTACCTAGTTGGAAACATTAAACAAACACAATAAAGTTAATTGTTTTCAGTTGCTTTTGACGGAGCAGATTGTTTGCACTAATCAATTAGTTCTCACTAGTATTATGTAAATCAATGTGATTTCGGTTGCTACAATTAGTATTCTTCATCGCTTTCGCTTTCGTATTTTTTAATGATCTCGCATACTAAACAGCAAAAACCCCTTAAAAGTTCGTGCTGGATTGGTGCTTACAAGTTACAGACACACAGCATCGTGCTCCACTGCAATCACTCTTACTTTTTCTAGGATCTGAATTGCACTCAAAACAACAGGCGAAAGTGATTATTCGAATTTATTTGAATAAGAAGCTGAAATTGAAACATATGTTTGAATGAATAAATATTCCTAAACTGATGTTGTATCATTCAACTCACCTATAGGGGTATCCTTGGGCCTTCGATCGGAAGATCGACAGAATCAACGAGAAGAAGACGGCGACCAGCACCAAGCCGACGACGGCAGCAATCTTTCCTTTCCGAGGATCGCTCTGCCAGCCCGACTCAGTCAGCAGAATCATACCGGCAACGATCATGGCGTCTAAAATACAAAAAAAAATAATTAGATCCAAGCTAAAAAGAAAACACCAATAACTTACTCAAGAACATAACAATGTACGTCTCAATCACCAGCTGCCCCTGGGACGACCCGTGAATGTAGGCAATACCACCATTCTGGCCCTTATGAACAAACGGTGGAGTTCTGATATGGTTCCACATCTGACCGGAAACCATTGCGAAACAGAAAATGACTGCCAGGAATCCCCACATTTGCTTGTTGTACAAAAAGTCCAAGTTGTTTCGACGCAAGTAGAGGAACCCTCCGACGAAGGCCGTCAACATAAGGATGGCTACAGTAGCCGAATAGTTCGGTGGTCTGAAGATTCTAATCTGAATATCGGTACGCTCCTGAATCCATTTGCCGATCACTTCAGCGGATACTCCCACCCTTTGGATGTCCATGGTGTCCGCCGGTTTCGGTTTGCCCTTCGCTGGGAAATGAATGAAGACCGGAGCCGTATTCAGACGTAACAACTGAAACACGTCGGAACCTTCATCGAAGTCAACCATAGCAAAGAACAGCTTATTCGAGTAAGTTTGCGAATAGCGATAAGAATTTGCCACTATCGTGTACTCGTCATGAGCATGTCGACAAATAACACACTGTCGGGCCGGTGCCATTGCAGTGAACATGATGACGACCGAGTAGTTTCGCGGTGCCGACTTTACAAAGTCACGGAAACGGTTTCCATTGAAGCGCATCACCGGCCGCTTGACATTCATATCCAACAACTGTTGGACTTTCTCCGCAAGGGTTTGCGACTGAAAGAAAGATGATTGTGTTCCATAATTCAACTCAGTGTCTACTCACAAGATTTTCGTAGACGTGGAATTGGCTCCGTAATAGATCAGAATAAACATTCGCCGAAAAGTCAATACTTACGCCTCTTCCTTTAGCCTGGCTTTGCACATGGTGGAACAAGCACAGTGAAATTGCAATGAGGATTGCAATTTTAACAAGGACCCTCATTTTGTTATTACTTATTGATTATTCTTAGATGAAAAATTAGTTTTTAAGACAACGAATTGCAATTATCCATTGCCTGCAAGCAAAGAACCGTGCAGAACTGTGAAACGAAGAGAGCGATTCCGATTTGACGTTTAGAGTGACGTGTACAACCAGTGCGTTACGTGTAAATTATAACTCGTAACGGAGGCTAACGTTCGTTGAATGGCTGCGTGCCGATGTAGTTTAAATTCACGACAAACAATTGAAAAAGCCATATCAATGTATCCGACGCCAACGCAACTAAAGTACACTCAAAATATATTGAAATCTAAATAGTATAAAAGTTACGCTAAATCGCAACTCTCCGTACCGACGCAAAGGCCGGTATAAAGGGAGAGAATGTAAACTTAGTATAAAAATGGTTTATGCGTGCCATAGTATAAAATCGAAATATACTCACAATGCATATATACGGTTTATTCAAGAGAATGTATTTTTCGCTTCTTTATTTCATTTATGGTAAATATTATTGTTTTTAAATGAAAATAAAAATTGTCTCAGGAAGCTTTTTTCATTAGTTTATTTTTTATTAATAATATTTAAAAAAATACTTACAATTTCGATGCTGCCCAGCAGATTACAGGCGCAGTAGAAATCCGCTGGGACAAAGCCCTTCACCAGCACGAAGCTCCGAAGGGAATCCAGATGTTCTTATTCCTGTCATTTTAGTAAACACTGATCGAATTCCACTCCGTTATTCGGACTTAGTATAATTTTGACGAAAATTTTAATGGAACCAATGTATAAATTTTGAAAAACCATAAAATGCATAAAATTTAATCTATATTCGTTTTGTAATATTTTTGAGTGTACCCCTAATAAAAATAGTATGGTTAATTTGCTTAACGACGTGTTCGGGGTATCATCGAAACCATTCGTGGAATAGTTCAATCATTTGCTGCACTTATTTTTTGCTGCTGGAAACCAGCAAAATTTTGCTGGATTTTGCCGAGCTGGCAGTGCAGCAATCTTTCCAGCAAAATAATTTTGCTGGATGACCAGCAATTTGAATCGAAGTCAAAGTGACAACACATTACTGAAAAATCAGCAATCTTTACAGAATGTACAGCAAAGTTGAGTAACAAACTTTTTGCTGGAATTTCAGCTAGTTTTATGTGCCTATGGTCTTTTCATATTAGCAGCAAATAAATAGATTACTGAATTGTATACACTTGATAACATTAATTTATTACACCGTTATGTTGATTAAATCTCGGATTAAATATCCCTTTTAACGCTGATTATGAATCATCTATCATAACTACGGTCATTTATGATAGGAAGACAGGATCGTCGACGGGATGTAACTCTAAGCTTAAGAGTTGTTATTTTTCACGAAACACAAAGATTTTTATATTTATTCAATGGTTTAATAAATATTTACTTGTATTTTCTTAAATTTTATCAGAGGATTGACAAGAAAAACACCTTGCAGTATGTACAATATGGAGTTCGCAATGAAAATCAATATACAGTTTGACCACAGACACACAGACATAACACATTGAATATTTCTCATTGTAAAACATCGTCGCTAAAACATTACCGCCATCTGTTGAATACACTGTGGTGGGTAGTACGCTGAACAGATGGCGGTAGTGTGTATACGTCAAACGCAAGGGAATTGACTATGCGCGCCACAGGTGGCAGTACTACCAACTGAGATACTTTTAAATTGACCGTTAAATGCTTGTGCGATGAACAATTTGTGAGTGTTATGTCTGTTTGTCTGTGGTTTGACAGTTCATGACATTCACTGAGCTTCCAGCAAAATGAGCATGTTTGCTGAATGTACAGTAAAATTTGCTTTTGTTGAAAACAAACCAGCAAATAATTTTGCTGGAACTCGATTTCAAAATTTGGTGTGTACATTTGGAAGTGTAACCTGTTATTTGGATGATGGTTGCAGAATTCTGCAAGGGAAACAGGAGCTTTTGAGGAATCGCTTCATAAAACAAAATAAATCTTTTCCCTAGGGCCCTGCCGCTGCAGGAGGAAGACGAATGGGCACGTGCCACCCGGGAACAAGAACCAAGCAATAGGTGCAATTTGCTATTAATTGGCGGGGCCGTGATTGGGCTCCTACGGTTTACAATGAGAAACTGTTCCGTTGCGTTTGTCTTGGTTTTCTTGCGAGACATTTACTTTTTTTGGCATCTCTCCCTCCTGATGCAGCTGCTTTCGTGGATCCCCGACTATCATTCTGCAGAGAGCATTACGCATTCCAATTGAAGGCCCTATCCAGAGCTGGTAAATATCACGGCCGTCATGTGACGTCTCACTATCACGAGACGAAACTACCTATCATTAGCTTTTTTGCCATTTTTCAATGATCAATCACTCATGAAAATAATTCTTATGCGGTTTAACATCAACAATTTTAACTGATTTAGATAAATTTAAGCAAACAACCGTATGTAATCGGTAGAGTGAATATATTATTATGATTTCTTCGGTACAAGTAAGTTCAATAGCATTAAATGAGCTAGTCATTACGATGATCACAACACTGTCACGTTCTGTCATGACAAAAAATTCGATGAGGTTTTGAAGAAAATCTCTATCATCGTTTTCTCATCGAATGATAGTGACAGAAGTATCTCTGTAAATATCGCGTGAGATCTCTCATTGAAAATGAAATTTGCCAGCCCTGCCCTAATAAATAAATACCATAAACGAACGATAACCCAAATTGTTGAACTTTTCCACAAATGGTTTGGATGATACCCCAAACACGTCGTTAAGCAAAATAACCATACAAATTTTATTAGGGTGGCCCTATCCCTTTTCATAACAATGTTTATCCTGTATTCGAGAGGAAAATCATCTGATTTCAAAACAACCGTCATCCGGTTGCAGCTATCATTCGAAAAGGCGATTTCGATGTTTCGATTTGAATGGTCTGAGCTTCCATTCGAACAGAGCACGGTGGTTTGGTACAATGAGCTGGATTACAGAGGTGAAGCAATCACTCACACAACCACTGTACGATACACGCAAGTACACGCAAGTAGTGACGTCACTACTTGCGTTTACGTTGATTTTTTGGTTTACTAATACAACCCTATTTCACGATCTGCGCCACCTCTCTCTGTACCTCATTGGGTTTGGTACAGTATACTCGTGCCACCAATGGACTGAACCTAGAACTGAACACTTCACTGTCATTAGTTTCAAACCCCTTATAATAAAAAAAAATACCTTAAACGAACGATAACCTAAAAGATTGAACTATTTCACAAATAGTTTAGATGATTGAGGTACACGTACACGTCGTTAAGCAAAATAACCATAACAATATTATTAGAGAATGACACCAGCTCGCACCAACTGACAAATGCTTCAAACCGACGTTCGAGGAATTGACAATCATCGATCGAGCGGAACACGCTCTCACATATCGCACCAACAAACGGACTTGAAAATCTCTACACGGATAGAAATCTCCTTATACCTTTTGGCAAATTTCTATTGATGATTATTCATAAAATGTATAAGTCAACTAATAAGCAGACGCCTTGCAAAAAGTTAATGAAGATCATGTGTCAAATGAAATGTATAAGCGGTCACACATACCTTTTATGCTTTCTTATAGGACCTATGTGGTTTGTCTTATGGAATGTATAAGACTGATGTTTTGGCAAAAATGTATAAGTGAAACACATGAAAAAAATAATTTATTTTCGTTTCGTGTATATTCTGGTGGAGACAATGACGGGAGCAGTGGTGGCAAATGTACATTTTTCGCAAAACCATCATCCAAAGCAAAACCAAACAGACAGCACACGGGCGGTCGTGTATATGTACATTTCAAGCAAACGGCGGAGATATAGAATAAGAAAAATGTCGCAGTCCATTATTTTCTAAACAGTTTATTTGTAATTGAATTTTATCTGAAAGCTTGCATGTGACAGTACATTATCAACTCCCTTATTTAAGCACAATTTTAAAATTCAATTCCATACTAGGGGCAAGACAACTGTACTCAGAGTTAATATATTTGCAGTGAGTAAATTTGAGTTACTCAATATTTACTCAAAAACAAACAAAGTAGTCTAATATTTTTCATCAAATAATGTTCAAACAATCCCCGTCTGACAGAATGTTTTGATTTCAAGATTTAGTTTTCATTCATTAAAAGATCCAAGTTAGATGGCTCTTGTCCAAGCCAAGGGATGTTTAGGTCTCGTTTGTTTTCTAGGATGGATGGCTAAAGTGTAATGTCTTTGAAGTTTTTGGTGATGTGGTCGTGTTAGTGTTTCCATATCCCAGCCATTTATAATTACCCGGGACTCTTCCCGGAAATCGGGAAATATTGTCGGTAGTTATTTATTAAAACTTGAACTTCGTCAGGATTTCTCCCGGAAGATTTTTCTGACAATTTCTGGAAGTTTCTTCCAACTTCCCCTTGAAGATTTCCACCAGCTTCTTCGGAAGGATTCTTATGATTTCTCTGGGAGGTTTCGTCTGACTTTGCACGAAAGTTTCTTCCAACATCTCCTGGAAGTTTTTTTTAAACTTGCCCTGGAAGAATCTTCCACCTTCTCCCGCAAATTTTGTCCATTGTTCAACGGAAGTTTCCTCATCTTTTCATATCAACAGTATCAGATTACAATCAGAAGTCCTAGATTACAATAAGAAGTCCTACCGCTGGAAGTGGAAACTATTTCACATTTCATCCGGACTTCCCACGGAAACTTTTCTGAATTATTCTGAAAGTTTCATCCGGCTGCCTAAATTTGCATGGAAGTCTCTTCTAACTTCGCCCGGGAGTTTCTCACAGATTGTGTCAGAAGCGCCTACCGGTTTCGTTGGAAAGATTCTTCGCCAGGAAGCTTTCCTGACTTCGCACTAAAGATTCGTCAAACTTTTTCCGGAAATTTCTATCAAAAACCCCAAAAGTTGTGTGGTAATTTTTAATATAACATATGTTTAACATGGTTTTCGTACAAAAAAACTGCTTCTTGGGAAGTCAAACTAGTTTTCTGGGAATCGGAAAATTATAATTCTGGTAAATTTCCCGGGAAGGAAACACTAGATGGTGTGATTTCAAGACTAAGGAAGTAAGAATTTGGCCAAATGTTTTCAGAAGATTAATTTAGCTCATGAAAATTAAAACTCAATCTCACAGAATCGGTCGAAGACGTTTCATATTTTATTGCACTACATGCCTGAAATGAGGAAACTCATAATTAATAATTATTATTATTAATTACGGTATTTCGTGATAAGTAACATTTGATTTACCAGCATTCATTAAGGAAGAGGGGTTTAAATTTCTGAGAATATTTAGCTAGAAAATGTCAGAGTTAGGGTCAACTCTCTCCAGAAGCGTTCGTTGTTTTCCCTGATACTCCTGCAAAAAGACATCAATAGACACGAGTTGAAAAAGGTTGAACAGGAACAGGTTGAATTTTCATCGTCTGGTGTTGTTGTGTTGATCGATATTTAACACAAAAGGAGCATTGTTGAATGCAGTCTTTTATTTAATTGTTCATCCTAGGTCCAAATAGGTTCGTTCTGGCCAACTTCATAGTTGATTCTATTCTGAAACTTATATGAAGCTTGTCAATGAGCGATAGTCGAAAGGATGTAGGAACCATCACGTACTATTTTGTAATACTGGGATTGTGCAGAATCTACCTTTGGATTGACTGGATTATATGGAATCCCCCCTGGACAGTCATGAATCCCCCTCAATATTGAGTGAAATTCTTCCTGTGATTGTCCGGAATCCTCCCTGGGATAGTTCATATTCATTCTTTGGATTTTCCGAAGTTACCTTTGATATTGTTGGGAAACCGAACTGGGATTGTCTGACATTCCCCCTATAGGCTTGTTCGGAATATCTACTGAGACTGTCATAAATCTCCTTTGCGATTGACTGGAACCCTCCTAGAGATTGTACACAATCCCCCTGTAATAGAACGTCATCGGCATGGCAGTAAAGCAAGACAGCTCTGACTGTCCCGTAAGGTCACCATAAAAATCTGCTATTGATTTTGAGGGGACAGCTTGTAGTTCCTTTCATACACGTGCAATTGCCCTTTCATTGCTGAAAGATCTTCCTAGTAAAGCATTGCAAGCGCACCGTTTAAAATGTTGTTGCTTTGCTTTGCTTGACAGTATCGGTTGCTATGTGTATTTTATGTTGAGCAACGCGAGCTACTCAGAGTTACTCAAAATTAACTCTGATTTTACTCATGATCAAAAGCTGTCTTGCCCCAAGATTCCATACAATAATCATCAAATAAATGCAGTTATTACAGATAAATCAGCAAAATTCTACATGACATAAATTTGAGTGGCGCGGTGGTCTTAAATGCAACATTTTTGCCGCTTACTAGTTTTTTTTGAGTGTCTTCACTATAGTCATTGCGAAAAGTATCAAATGTTAAGGAAAAAAATGTTAAACACCCAGAACTCGTTGCACCACTGGACGGGAGCCAATTTGACCAGTCATTTGTGAGAGACAATCGAGCATTACTGTTTCTTTATCGACCAATGTGACGATTATTAAATCGAACAAAAATTAAATCATTGATAATTTATAATTGCGTTTTATGCGTTTTTCGCGGGGAACATCGACGCGCAAATTTGGGTAGAATCAACAATCGATCAAAAGAGATGAACTAGCCTCAGGCTAAAAATCTCTAAAATAAAGATTAAAAAAAAAAAAAAAAAAAACAATCGATCAAAACTGAACCTGAATGGGTAACCCAGTGCGCAACCGAAATTTTTGTCAATGTGAACCTCAACCTGAGGTAGGTTTTAAAAATAAACGATCAAACTGAAGTTTGTCAAAAAACAAAAAAACAGACCCAATCTTGATATCCGGTCCAGGTTTGAACTGAATAATAATTAAACTAATTCGCTATATGTTGGGAATGACAAGTTGACAAATGGACAACATCGACATGAATCCGATCGACATTGTTCATCTGTCAACTTGTCACTGCTAAACTCGATGCTAAACTCATAATGTTAGTTCAGGTTCAGTTTTGACCGATCTGGTTGGATTCTACCCAAATTTGGGTAGTTTTGAAATAGCGTGAAGAGCAAACAATGTTTTGGATTTATTTTAACCCAGCCCTGGATGGGAAAAGTTCTGACAAGACAGGTATATAATAAAAATTTGTAAACAAGCTTCCGTTCTCTGAGTCAGAACAGCAGAAATTTCTCTTATTTCGCGTATTTTGTTAAGCAAAGCAGTAATCTCAACCCGCAATCTAAAAATGAATGAATTTGAAGCGCACCAGGACGTTAAAAGCCATTGGACGATTCCCCTCGAACCCGAGGAGATGCAGGATGTAGAACGAGAACAATGTTGTTTCCTTTGTCAGAGCGTCAACCGGACGCTAACTGTTCTTTTCAATGCAGACGTATCATCCATGAAATTAAGAAAATTAATCCACAAATATCTTAAAATCAAGGTGAGTTTCCGGTTCATATTATATACTTTTGTTGCAGGGACATGCATGAACAGAAAGTTCCAAATATGTTGGCTAAAAATAGTACCGAGCTTTAACCTTTTCTGCCCAGTGCAGTCGATTTTTTTTTCTTCTATCTAGGAAAATCTGGGAAACTTACTACAATAGTCTGGACATTTCAGTATTCAAGAATCTATGGCTCTTAGGGCCTTCAGAATAAAAAAAAACGAACCAATTAAAACCATAATTTCCGTGAAAGATTCCACTACATTGCTCTTTAATGCCTTGTAACTTATCATTTTCGTGCCCTTTTATTGACCTGGGGTCACATTATGTAACCAAGACGAAACGACTTTTTCGTAGAAGTGTTCATACGGAAAACGCTTCGCTTCGACTTCCTCAATGATTTATTACACAGCAGCAATTACTACAGAATATGTACCGAAGAAGCTAACAATGAATGCTACTCAGTGTTTGCTGCTGATAAGCAAACAAAGAATTGAATTTTCAGATCCACACGGTTTTAGTACGCAAATTACTAGAACAGATAAGGCATCGCTATTATACCTTATGTTAGTTAGTAACTAAAATATATCTTATATTGGAAGAGCAAGCTATCTAACCTATTTAATCTAATGTATTTATCATTTTCAGATGAACCATTTAGACGAAACAAATGGATTTGTCTGCGTCGATTGCATAGAAAGGTTGAACTCCCTCAGATGGTTTGACCATCAAGGGAGAAAAAATGATCTCTTCCTTAAAAATCTTCCGGAAGAATTATTTCTCCAGGGCGAGAGCTACTGTCGGTTGTGTCTGTGTACAACAAGTCGACTACAAGCAATATTTCTGGAAAATGATCAAACTCCGAATAATCCTCTGTGTGAGTTGATTAAAGAATGCATCGGTGTTGAAATAGATTACTACCGTGACTTTACGTCGAACCTCTGTACACTGTGTCGCACGCAGTTAGAAATGTTTGTAACTTTCAAACGAATCTCTAGGCAGATTCACGATGAGGGAACCAATGCTAATACCAATGAGGAGCAGAATGAATTTTGGGAGCCATTGGAAAAATGTAAGTCCAGTTGCAGCGATGCAGACGAACCACTGTTAGAAGTGATGAGCTATGAATATGAAGAAACAAGTAAAAAGAAGAGAAAGCGAAAGGTGAAAAACAGAACTCAAAAGATCAAAAAACAACCCACACCTAAGAAACAACAAGTGGAAAGTAATGATAACAATGATATAATTTGGGCAAAAACCGATCGCCAGAGGATCTATCGAATCTTGTGGACGGCTGATGATGAGCGGAATTTCGAAGTAATCAAAGAAATGAAAGGGCGAGCACGTATCAGAAGGGATGGATACACATTTTCCTTTGCAAACATGAAACCGGATGGATCGAGCTTGTGGAATTGCGACTATAGGACGCTTCATAGCTGCAAGTATGAATAGTTATTCCATAAGTAGCAACCAAAACATTGTTCTTTTTATCCAAATTTCCACTTCCAGATTTCAACTAACCGTCGGTGCCAATGGGAAAATTGCGACGGTGACAAAGACCATGGTTCACACCCACGATAGCGAACCGGCACGGATCCTCAAGTCCCCCCTCGGAAAGGGAGTTCTGTTGAACGACGATGGAACTGAGGATGTGTTTTGGTTAATCGGTGTAAGACATGTGGGCAAAGAAATCGACAGGCACCTAATTTTCCGAGGGCATCATTACATCTTACGTGCGTGCGACGTCAGTCAAGATACCAGTCAATGGATATGCAAATGTCGCCAATGCCGAGTAACCGTTGAGGTTCGAGGGGTATTTAAATTTATAACTTCTAAGGGAGTGCATACCCATCCGCAAATATCCAAACGAGAATTGCAAGAAGCATTGAAAGGCAGTAGAGTTAGTGCTAGATCGGAGGACGTTATTACTCCATTCCGTGATCAGAAAGTCTCTGAAATGGACCCAAAAATGTCAAGCTTGCAGAGGAAGTTATCTGTCCCAGAAGTATACACCAAACTGGCAAAAGAGGACGAGTATCGTGAATTCATTGTTCTAAAAGCTCGGGATAATCTCTACAAAATACGCTATCTAGGTTACGATTATAAACTTTACTTGAAGCAGACTGAAGGCTCCACCCTTTGGAAGTGCCTCTGGGAGAGCATCTATAACTGCAAAGCAGTTATAGTGGTTTCGGGCGATGGAAGAAATGCCGCGTATTATGGTCTAGTGGAGCACAATCATTCGATAGAACCAGCACCGATCTTTCTGTGTGAACCCAAGCAGTACTCAGTTCGGAACATTGCCAATGATGTATTGGAATACATGAAACTTCTGAGCCGTGAGTGTGCATACTTTCGAAGCCGGACGATACTGTTTCGCTTTCATGTGTACAATTTGTATCAGATTATTAATGACGAAACTAGATGGCTGTGTGTCAGAACAGGATCACAGGGACAGCAATGTTCCGCTTCCATCATAATAACCGGTTCAATGGAGTCGTTTTTGCGCAAAGGAGACCACTGTCACTTGCCCATGTCTACAAGCGAAATAAAAAGTATTGTCAAGCCAGGTAACGTAGTGGAACTATCGGCCTTGAAGCACGACGAATCTTCGCAGAGTGCTAACACAACGGATTCCGGATCATCGAATGATGTACTAAACATGCTGAAACAGCAACTCCTAGCATTCCCAGTCGGACGCGGAGGCATCTGGGACATGAAAGAGAACAAAAATCATCCATTCTACTTCGTGATGGACCAGGCGAAGAAGAGTGGTACTCCTTATAAATTTTTCTACCAACACTACCGTTATGCTTTCGTTTCAATTGATGAGTATGGTACCAGTCAATGGATCTGTTGCAAGCTGTTGGAAACCAGTGCACGGGAGGGAACATGTACGGCTCGAGCTACGATCGAGGGCGTCTTTCAACGGGTATTAACAAGGGGAACTCACAACCACGATGGCATCCCAGAATCGATGGTTGAGTATCTGTGTAGCAAGACGGAAACGAGCATTTAGTATATAGGGTTTACATAGAATAGAACTGCTAGGTACTCTGGTAAGAGATTTTAATTAGATCATTATTTATTGCCATTATTTTACTATTTCATCTCAACTTATACCAAGGTAAATTAGAGTATTCTAGTGAGTGTATTCAATTGATATCAAGTTCCATATAAAACAATAAAGATATTATTGCATATATGTTTAGTAAGTCTATAATATTAAACATGAAGAAACCTGTTGGTACTTGAACACCCCGACAACCTACGAAGAATACAAAAACCACAATATTTTATTTTTTTCTTAAACACACATCGTCCGAAGAAAAACTCCTTTGCTACAGTCCATTTCCCGCGAGTGTCAAGGACATTTGTGGTCCTTCGAACCAGATCAATTGTTCCAATAACAGTTGAATTTTGCGAAAAAAGTGAAGCGGAAACGCTACCGGCGTGCAGTGGAGGCTCAAGCAGCCGAAGAAAAATGACGCCATTACTGATGGCGAATAACGCAGTTGCCGTCGGGTCGAGTGTTTACAGCTCTTGAATGCGCTCCTAGCTGGTCCTAGCTGCATATTGATTGAAAAACTAAAAATCGATTTCCATGTGTGTGGGCGTAGAATATAAAACGGCAGCACTTCCCGTCACACTACTTGTTGGTCCCGATTCTGTGACACTACCCTGAATGTCACTACCCCGAACGCCATAACCCCGAACGCCACTACCCCGAACGCCACTACCCCGAATGGCCATTACCCCGAATGCCCTACTACCCCGAATGGCCATTACCCCGAAATTAAGACAAATGAAAGAACAGCAAGGGGTCAAAAGAAGGGTACATTTTTAGAAGGAAATTTCGTTTTGGAATTTATATATATATATTTATATGTATATTTATATTATTAAATGATATTTTTTATTGGAATTTTGAAGCTTGCAAGCTAGCAAGCTTGTTTTACGCGAGAAGCCCGTTGTCTGTTGTCTGTGATTAAACTCTCTGATTAGTTTCACTTTACTAAATTGATGATACACTACGTTTACTTTTATGGAACTATGTATTTATCAATTCCAAACCATTTTAAAGCTCTTTAGAAAATGACAACCTTCAAGTTTTCGAGCACTTCGTTCACCATTTAAAAAGTCAAAGGGTCTAATATGCAATCCAATTCAATATGCAATACCAGTCGGAAACTGTTAAACCTTATCAAAGAATTGTTCGACCTGAGTCTAGACCTGAGTTCCAGAACAACATGTGAAAAGGGCATACAAGCTTTTTGTAAACAAACCTTTGTAGGCCCTTTTCTCACCAACCGAGGGTCGCCCACGCAAACCAGCAATATCATCGGGAAGGGGAAAGTGTCCCCTACCCGGTGATGTTGAAGGTTTGCGTTGGTGTCATATGGGTGGCGAGAAAAGGGCATAAGAAGGTTTGTTTACAAAAAGCTTGTATGCCCTTTTCACATGTTGTTCTGGAGTTGAAGAATTTCTCGTTATGGATTGAAAAATCGGTGCATGGAACGTTGAACTATCGATTACAAATTTATAACATTATTCCACACGTTATTATCCCAAATGGTCATTACCCCGAATCCCTTGCCAAAAGCTATTGATTACATATTTTCCTTATATATTAAAAGAAGGGAATATTCCCTTCCCTTCTTTATCATACATCCAAAGAATAAATTATTTTCTTTTTATATATTCAAATAAAGGAATATTCCCTTCTTTATCGTTCATCCAATAATTAATTATTTCTTTTTGTTATATTTTCAAAGAAGGGAATATTCCCTTCTTTATCATATATTTAACGAATTGATTATTTTCTCTTTTATATATTAAAAGAAGGGAATATTCCCTTCTTTATCGTATATCCAAAGAATTAATTATTTCCTATTGTTATATTTTCAAAGATGGGAAACCCCCTTGAGCCATTAAGGGGCTGTTCATTAACTACGTAGATTTTTTGGGATTCTTGACCCCCCCCCCTTCCCCTGCAATTTTCCATACAAAATTTTTAAAATTTGTATGGACCGTGCACAATTGCCAACCCCCCCCCCCCTTAATTTCGGGGTAGTCGCCATTCGGGGTAATGGCCATTCGGGGTAGTGTACTATTCGGGGTAACGGCGTTCGGGGTAGTGTACCGTTCGGGGTTATGGTGTTCGGGGTAGTGTCACAGAATCGTTGGTCCCACCTCATATGTACACCTTGGTAACACCAGCCCGTTGCAGCAGTCCACTTGACGGTGCAACACCGAGCTTCGGCCTCTTTCGGATTGGCGTTGACGAGAGCTCTGTAACTCTTTACTCCTATGGAGAAATCTCATATGTAACTGTCAGTCTATGTGTGAAACATGGCGGACTTTTTCTTATTCTCTCACTCCAACGCAAAACCCCATAAGGAACTGTCAAAATGTGTGTGAAGAAACGTCACTTCGGGACTGGTGTCAAGGCGAATACCAGCTGCAGTACAGGTAGGACGTGCTTCCGGATCGTGGAGCAAACTGGTTGATTCCTCGGCATTTCCACAATCCACAATATGGATTTTATTCGATTGGTGAAAACATCACAACGTGTTCGCGCATGCTATCGTGCTTGTGGTGATAAAAAAATGGCCACTAACAGCAAAGAGTGAAAAAGGCATAGTGTTTTTCGCAAGTACCGAGCTGTTCCCCAAGTCAGAGTGGCCAGATTATTTTTTTCATTATCGGTAGCTTCTCAAAACTTTTAACGGTACCCGACCAACCATTCGTGAAACTTCTTCAAAGTTCTTTGCACAAAAATAAAGATTAATGTCGGTAATTCTTTACTTTCAAGTTTCTTTGATTTCGATGAATATATTTAAAAACCTTTATTGTTCGATACTTACATTTAAGATAATTTCTTTATCGGTCGCTTGACAGTAATCTATAAAGATGCCATACTAAATTTCTTCTAATTTCGATGTGTCACAAGGACTATAGTTTTCTTTATAAATATTCATCTAAAAATATTTGAATACTGATACCATCGTAACGTTGAACTTTGGCAAAGAACAATAAAGATTGCCATTCTTCATCGAGAGAAGCATGATCTGCTGGAAAATGAACGGGAAGGCTGATCGATGGCCACGATGATAAAAATGTTTGCCATTGTAGATAATAGTTCATTAAGTTAACGTCGATACACTCTCGGCCATTTCTTAAGAATCAGCGATAGCAAGCGTGGTGGAATTCTCGGCATTTTGAACCGAATGAGGGAACTTGATACTTTGGTTATGGATATGACAAATAAATTTTGAATTTATGCTTGAAAAGATGTACATAAATTTCAAAACACCATATACTAGAGTGTGATTGCCAGTCGTTAAGAAGCTCATCAACAGCAGCTGTAGACCCGAGGATTAGCTACCAACAAAGAAATTAGTACACCCTAGATGGCACGGGATCGAAAACTAGCAATTATGTAGATAAAAATAATCTCAAAAATATCAGTACGTGTATTGTTATTTTGATCTGACAAGAGAAATCGATATTTTGATCTGGCAACACGAATCGATATTTTTACATAGGTAACGATTAGTAGCAACATTTTGATAAAGATGTTTATAAATGATTCACGGTCAGGCTTTTAGTATCTTTACATTTATTCATTAAATGGTGACGATCGCTATCGATTTTTCATATGAATGTCTTTGAAGATCGATGTATCGAAAATTAAAGAAATTTAACGAAATGGTTGCGGTCGGGTAGTTATCGGTAGGTCGACTTAAGAAGGCTTTCCCGATAGTTGAAACTTTTGTGAGCGGGGTGGGGATGACTCTGCTCCAAGTGGAACGAAAGTGTTGTGGATTCAGGGCGGTATTCAGTGACGAATTGTTACCGCATTATTGGTGCGGAAATTAATAAGCACGATGAGCACTGTACGTACACCGATCGTGACGAGAAGTGCGAAAGATAAAAACACTGGTGATGAAAATTACGCCGATGACAGTGTTACACCAGTGAAAGAAAATAACCAGAACGGTGAACCAGTGCCGATCAGTGAACATAAGGAAAAAGGAAAAGAAGTGAAGAAGAAGATGGCTGCTGAATATACACTGAACGAATTTGACATATTCCTGTTATGTGGAAGTCTAATAAATTTGCGCTATAAGATAATCCATTGAAAATGATATGATTGAAAATGTGTCAGGTAAATTCTATATGAATATCTGATACATTTACAATGCTGATAATTTGGTAACTTTTATCTGATCGTCATATGATAAATGAAAATCGATTAAATTATAATAATTAACTGAAATGGATTTGAAACCCATAAGCATAAGCTATACTTTTCACCACAATATAATATATGTGTCATAAATCAATCGAAGTAAAGTTTATGTGAAAATAACATGAAATTTACTTCTTCTTTTGACACATATATTTAATCGATATCTAAAAATAAATTCGAAAAATAAACATCAGGCAGAAGGAGCTTTCACAGTTGTGCCTTTTTTTTATTGTAGCTGATTTGGGATTCGATCAAGATCTGTTGAGGTGTGATGCTTTCGGTGTCTGTGCTCGATTCCACTGGGCCACGGCTGACTTCAAGATTGAGCTCGTTCAAATAGCATGAAGTAAGAACAGCTCTCCCGACATGGAATGTAGTGCAACTTTATGCTCGTTTTGCTAGAGTGAAGACAAATAGCACTGACAAATTTATGTTCCGTTTCGGTGGTGTGGTTTGTTCAAATCTTTCTTAATGCACCTGTGTGCAATAAATCAACGACTAAATTATATGATTTGATAGAACTGGCTCATGAAGTTCGAGTACTACTTAGGGCTGGAATCTGAATTAGCCGTGTAGAAGGCTTACAATTAGAATCATAGCAAAGTAAATATTACAGTAGAATCATTTTTTTTCAATCTCAATACATTCTTTTCTGGAACCAATTATCATATGAATGAGTGTACGTTAACATCGTTGAAAATTGTTTCAATAATTTATAAAGAACAATCATGTAAGATGTATTTTATTGGGAGCGATATTCATCTCAGAAAAACATGCAAAAACAAATGCTTGCTGTTGGATTTCTTAAAAGGCATTTCTATATGACTATTTAATGATTGGGATAGATCTGTTTACAATCTTTAAACGTCAAAAATCAAAGCAAGCTATTACA